TAAGCAGTCACCAAATGTCAGAGATTATCACAAGAGGCCAGAGGGCGAATATTAGTATGGCCAGTTTTATTATGTTACATTTTGATTTAAGTCACAACAATGTTACAAAGAAATCGCCAATTAGATATACCTCGGATAATAATCCAATGCGAGATCTGCTTGAAAAATCACCTCCGGGCGTTTTGAGTGAAAGACAAAACTATTGTCTATCAAATTTATCACTATAACTTCATTACCACAAATGTATCAGTAGATTTAAGTTCATAAACGTATTCCTCTCAAGTTCACGATTAATTTCCATATAAAATTTATATATTTAGTCCAGTTTATCACTATTAAACTCCGATTTACACGACAGTGGGTTTTATGTGACCACCACTATTCACACTTACATTCACTTTTTTTTGTAATATAATCAAAACTAGACGGTGAAAGTATTTCATATTTAACAAGATCAACCAATATACTTTTTTAAAAATTTAAGGAAACTTTGAAAACAGGCACTCATTTGGGTAAATTTTAAGAATTTTTTAAGTAGAAAAATGGTCAGACACGTGGTAAAAATGGGTGGGGTAGGGTAACATTTTTATACAGATTTCATAACTTTTAAGTAGAAACCATAATTTTGCTTATTTGGATTGTTAGCTGAATGGTACATTTTGTTTCTTACCAAAAATTAATTGGAAAAAAATTTTCATTAGAATGTTATTGCGAATATTTAAACGTTCCTACTTTCTAAAAAAGGGCCCTCATAACATCCTAGCTTGAGGTCAGAAAAGTGGCCATAACTTGATTTCCGTACGGTAATCTTTGTTTAAATTTTGCATACAGGTGTACTTTTAGGTATACATCTGACTTATGATGTCAATTTTTTAGTTCCTGATAGTGCCCATTAGGGTCCTAATACCTTAACATAAAATATTTCTCCTTTCATGTCCTAAACTTACGCTCAAATTAAATCATAGATACAGTACCAATTGAAAAACATACAAAAATGTCCGGGCTTATATATTTCTACCAATTGTCATAGGATATTAAAGCCAAGGAATGTAAAATGATTATATTTATAGCTTTAGTTATTCAAACTATTTCAATAATGTTGAAACGTTTTCGTCATAAATGCAGCAAATTGTACTGAAAACTGGGCTAAACTTTTTCCCTATACACCGTGAACAAACGAAAAACAAATAAAGGAAAATACGTGTACATGTATATCAAAGTTTAACTGTCTATTGATTAAGCGGTTTTAAGTTTAAGAGGTTTTTGTGTATCATAAAATACGGTTTTGATTATGCTAAAAGTTTTTTGTTTGACCAAGATGAATTGACATGGACAAGCTTCCTCTAATTAGAAACAATCAATGGAAGAGACGGGTCAGTCAATAAAACTTGTTAAAACTATAGAGAACAGGATTGATTAAAACTCTAATATCAAAATATTATTTTTGCAATATTAACGTCCCAATGAAACATGTTTGTTTTAAATAAGTGTCTGATAACACTATGTAATATTTTTATTAATTGTATCTACAGCTACTTTATAACATAGGATAATATAGGATCAAATTTCTCGATTCTGTTGAGGACAATAAATATTTATACCTTGATATATATTAGGATTCAAAATTACTACAAATTTTATAAAGATACGAGTATTGAACACAAATCCTAAGTTACCAGGACAAGTCAATCTAATCTATGTTCATAATGATTTTTATATATACTTCAAACAGAATAATTTATGTTCTTACCGTTAAAAGTTTCATTACCAGAATTAAAATAGAAATATTGTCGTTTTTTTTTTAGTTTTTGATACTGAACATATTTGACACGCAATGGAATACCTTTTTAATTTTTAAAACTCTTTCTTTTGGTTAAAAGGTAAGATAACAAAAATATTGCTTTCTTTGTCATAAAAATGAATTTGTTGTTTTCTTTGTCATAAAATGAATTACATTTCATTTCATTTACCTGTTTTGTCATATTTTTTTGTTTAAATTTTCACAAACTTTTATCTGTTTCAGTTTGTATCTGCATATTCCGTTGACGACGAGAGTAGATTACAGACTGACCTTTTAAACAGGCTACAGTACAAACGTCCGTCCGTCCGACAAAGTTATCTTACTTTGTTCTCTTGATATAAGAAATGTCCTTGCATTGGTAATTATAAAATTATAAATACAATAATCTTGACGTTATACAAACTTTTACAAAAAAAAAACAAACAAAAAAAAAAAAACAACAACAACAACAAAAAACTGTTGAATATTAAATTGGTTTGTGGCGGCTAAGCTGATAAATTTAGTCAAATACATTATAAATTGTATGATTTTAATCTAGTAACTACAAGAATAAAGTTTAAAAAAGTATCGTATGATTTTATTGTCGACTAAATTTATACTTTGCACTAGAAATAAACACCAATTAAGAGCCATGTATATTTAAAATTGTATTTACTATGCTTGCATAGAATGGCAGGCAATATGCACAGCTTTAAATAGGAACACATTTTCATCGTTTTTTAAAACATTTGCGGTGATGATTTATGTTTTTTCTTTGTAAATCATTTTATAACATACATGTATATTTGTTTTAGAATATTGTTGATCAAACACTGGCAATTACAGGATCACTGGGGCTAGTAAGTTGATTCTTATGCATAACATGATTAATCCAACAATAAGAATGACAATGAACTGTTACTATATTTTACCATGTATTATAATTAGTCCTGTGTGTACGAAAAGCTACGATATATGAGACAATAATATTTACGTATTGTACATGTGTATGTTTATGATACAATATATTCACGTATTGTACATGTGTATGTTTATGATACAATATATTCACGTATTGTACATGTGTATGTTTATGATACAATATATTCACGTATTGTACATGTGTATGTTTATGATACAATATATTCACGTATTGTACATGTGTATGTTTATGATACAATATATTCACGTATTGTATATGTGTATGTTTATGATACAATATATTCACGTATTGTACATGTGTATGTTTATGATACAATATATTCACGTATTGTACATGTGTATGTTTATGATACAATATATTCACGTATTGTACATGTGTATGTTTATGATACAATATATTCACGTATTGTACATGTGTATGTTTATGATACAATATATTCACGTATTGTACATGTGTATGTTTATGATACAATATATTCACGTATTGTACATGTGTATGTTTATGATACAATATATTCACGTATTGTACATGTGTATGTTTATCAGGTCTGGCAGGATACTCGTCTATCATGGAACATGTCGCATTACGGAAATGTATCGGGCGTGTATTACAAGCCGGATCAAATATGGAGACCTACTCTAGTATTGCAAAACTCGTAAGTATCCGTCATAGTTCAACATAGGTGACAGCTTTAAAGTGATTCCACTGAGGTAATTGGAAATTACGGGACTGAAAATATTTTTTCAAGATAAATGTACCATTTGATGCAGGTTTAGACCACTAATATTTGTTCAAAATTTCAGATCATTCGCACACTTCGTTTTTCCAGAATGATAATTCAAATTGTAAAAAAAAAATGACCTAAAATGAAAAGCGTTTAAACGCTTGTCACTCAAATCGGGATAAGAAAATAAAAAAAATACGATTTTCAATTTATTTTTAAGTAAATTTCTTAACTATCATTGCATATATTTCTGTTTGAAGTGCCCCAACTCATTTATATATAATGTTTTCAGGCTTTTAAACCTCAGTGGAGTCCTTTTAATTATTACATCAATTATTATTAAATTTTTACGTTGGTGAACTTGATAAAATTCACAAACTTGCGTAATATTGCTTGACAAATGGCCAACATTTTTACGTTATAGTACAAACTTATTTATAACTCTTGAATATCACGGGAATATTAATGCCACTGATAATATACAATTGCTTTTAAACCTGTTAACTAAATCTAAATCTTTATTGAATTAATCAACAAATTTGCACCCTGGACAAGATTGTATTGCTGTTTCCTTTTTTTCGGACTTGAGATGGATAAGAAAAGAATTTGTAGTGTGATAACATGTCAATTATCTTATTATAACATGTAAACACCTTTGACACACTGTGAAAGAGCAACATCAAAAGTATATAAAGAGTTTATATGATTTAATTGACACATATAACTTTTATCAGTGACTTCATTATTATTAAATTTTGTTTTTCTTTAATTATTTCTTTTAGTTTGACAGGAATAGAGGTTATTGGTGATAACGGAAATATTTCTTCCATTATATCAATAGTTTGACAGAAATAGAGGTTATTCGTGATAATGGAATTATAGTGTGACTTGAATAGAGGAAATCGATGATAATGGAAACATTTCTTCCATTATAGTGTGACAGGAATAGAGGTTATAGGTAATAATGGAAATACATTTTTCCGTTGTAGTGTGACAGTAATAGAAGTTATTGGTGATAACGGAATTATTTTTTCCATTATAGCGTTACAGGAATAGAGGTTATAGGTGATAATGGAAATCAGAAGAGTATACCGATCACAGTAAATGATAAAGGTTCGGTGTTCTGGTTGGCCCCGGCTTACTTTGTCTCATACTGTTCCGTCCAAGTATCAAAGTTTCCATTTGATACACAAACATGCGAGATTGTTGTAAGTGTGAATACATGTATTATTATTTATTTTCTAATTCGCTCGGCTGATACGACAATGAATCATTTATTACCTAATAAATGTAGGGAAACCTTAAGTCACAGAATAAACAACAACACTAAATAAGGATAAAGGCCTCTGCATTGTTTCACTATTGTTGTATACCAATTAATACTGATAATATCAAGGGGAGCTGTGGCCTAGTGGTTAAGGTGGCTGTCTCTGTGCACAGGCACGAGTATCGGACCTGGGAAGAAAATATGACCACATTGATAAAATACCTCTGTGTTCATCTTAAATATGTCCAAAAAAATTTTTTTGCCCCTTTAAAAATATACATGTACTTAAGTTAAGAGAAGGCCGGAAACTCCAGATTCGAGTCTACGAGCAAGGGGTTCAATCCCCGGGACGTTGTGAAAGCAATTGTCCAGATAATTAAAAAAGATCACTATTTCACGTTTGAATTAAGCTTCCATATGAGACCGACCCCAAGTCTCTTGCCCTTCCCATTCAGCAAACGAGCGCATCGTCGACAAAAAAGTGGCACAACAATTTGGTACGTTAACATAGACTAATGCATGTTTGTCAGCCAAATCACTTGAATTTACTAAATAATATTACTAAATACATTAAATTGGACCACTCACAACCGTCAGTAGCATCTGATACACGCGAAATTCGAGTTTCAAACCTTTTCAACGTCATTGTAAATCAGCTGTTCGATATTTTGTAAGGAGTCGTCTGATTGGCCAATAGCAACGAAACCGCAACGTTTCGCCCAAGGATGCTTAATGGCGTAGAAAGCAATCGAAAGACCTGTTCAAATTACACGATTTTTGCAGCTAGGGTCTCAATCTATTTCATTTTTTACTTCTTTCTATTAACCGGAAAAATGTTCATGATTTAGGCAATCTTAGCAAAATATGAACCAGGTTAGTGTTTTAAACACATAAATTCCGAAAAGTATCAGTGAAAAATGATTGCCTAATCAACAACCTTTCTTTGAATTTTATAAGATTTCAGGATGGATGCTCACTAAAGACATCGTCAAACTAGTTGTTCTTGGTGATGAAATTACATTTAGACAATATGAAGAGAACGGCGAATACGAAATAATTAGGTCATATATACGTGTTATCAGCGTTTCAATGCATCATTCGGAGGTTGAATATCTTGTGTTTGGGTTAGAGCTAAAGCGGAAGTATTCCTACTACTTGGTGAACATCGTACTTCCGGTATTCTTCATACAGTTACTTGGTATAGTTGTTTTTGCTGTACCGACGGATTCCGGTGAAAAGCTGACATTTTCTCTGACGTTGTTGTTGTCATTGACGGTGATGATGACCTTGATAGCGGACAAAATACCCTCAACGTCGTTACAGATACCCATGTTAAGTATGTTGCCCTATATTTTATGAAGAAATGACTTTCCTAGGGAAATCCTAACCTAAGTTATCACTTTATTTCTACCTGAAGTGTAACATTTCATTTCTTTCAATAAAAACCTTTTGTTTCATAAAATGCAATGATACGAATATTTGTTGATTCTTCTTTTTAAATAATTTATGATATGCAATAGTTTGATTTCAACATATGATGATATCATTTTTGATATCCGACATGTGTTACAGGCAAGTACCTGCTCGGTGGATTAGTCATCAGCAGCTTAGAGCTTATAATGACTGTGATAATTCTTCATTTCAAACACTCGGAGGTCAAAGATGTTAACATGTCTAGAAGAATGCAATCCTTTGCAAATGGACTTGCATCCATAACCTTCAATAGGAAAAGAGGTTGTAGAAGGTATGTATACGTTACCCCCTCCACAATAGTTACCCCTATAGTTTCAGTAATTTCTATTTGTTCTTACATACCTGTACAGAATTGCTTTTACAACATTTATACATGTAACATATCAGTTATCTTCTTCATGTCCAAAAATTGTCTTCTTTCAAGACAAAAAATTCTTGTGTTATCTTCTTACAATATTCGTATTTATATATACTCGCATGCGTATAAAAATTGTATGTATTACATTCAGACAACCAAAGGTCCATACAACAGATTCGGACATCAAGCCGACACTTGTGTTAGAAGAATTTGTACAGGAGAAAGTCACTGATATTGATGAAGAGGAAATTGAAAAAGACTGTCACTATACATATGTAGAAATTTCTACAATGATTGAAAAGTTGTCCTTGTTTATTTTCACTTTGATTACATTTGTGTTCACTCTTACAGTGTCAATGATGATCTTATATTGATTTCTTCTGACTGTAACCTTGATCTGTTATATAATGATATCAATCATGCAACTTATCTCCATTTATCATTATACTTTTGAGGAGAATCTACTATTCTATGTAAATTGCTGTACATTATTTATTGTAGTACATTATTGGCATTTAATTTTAAGCAAAAGGAACAATGATTGCAAAAAAGTAAAATTTGGTTTGATTGAGTCTGTTTGTGACAGATTATTGTCAGATTATATTCACTACAGCATGTATTAATACATTATTTTATTGCATACTATGTACAATTATGAGAATTATTTTTGTATGTCTATGTAAAGCACAGATTTTCTAAATATGTATTTGTTACATATGATGCACATATACGGATTTGTTATACATTTATCCTTTTTACCTTAAATTACAATACAAGATGTAGACAAATATGGTATAAATGTCCCTATACGTTATATTAGCGCATGATATCTACCCGGATTTGTTCCACGGGATATGCCATAATATTATATTATTTCATATTATTGTTTTACCATAATCATATTTTGACGATATAAATAGATCTCTGTCAAGCCTTTAGTTAGTCCGATTCCTGTGAAATGCTACTGAGACTACGGTATGTGACAAAACTGTTAGGAACAGACGCCAGTGGGTTCGGACACATTGTCACTGGACGCACTATAAAACGATGTCCTTTTTACGGTTTTACGGACAAATCTCTTTTTTTATGTGTGCTGTGCCATTTATGCAACAGGATAAAGTCTGCGTTTTCCAGCATGATAATCCAACCTGCATATATCATGTCCTACGGTGGTGGTCACACTAGTTATTGTAGTGCGGTCTTGCAGTTTTAGTTAAAGTTGCATTTTATAAATAATAAAAATATTTCGCCTGAGACCGGAAAACAAAGCATTATACAGTTTCATTAACCTTTTTACAGAATTATTGTAAATCCTGTCAAATATTTTTAAGTAATTATGATTATGAAAGGAAAACCACACGGTAACACATAAGTTTGTATACCAATTTTAACATGCAAATGAAGTCTATAAATAGCAGCTCGTGTAAGCACTTTTAAACTCGAAACGTAATAGTGTAAAACTATTAAAAATCCCACCTAATATGGTTGTTCAAACAAGCTGTTATCATTATTCCTTCACGGTGCACTTGGCCTGTCGTTCACAAAAATGTAGAAGAAAAGATTCATGTGAAAACATCCGTTATATAATAAGGAAATATACCGTTTGGTTCGGAATGCTACGTAAACATTGTAAAGTCATGTTTGTTGCTGTTTAGACGATACAAATGTTCTCATGTAAATATAAATGGTATAGTTTCGATTTCGCCACATTTAGATAGCAGACATTTAAGCTTACAAAACTTACTTTGGTCGTCTTGACATATAAATAAGAATGGAACTCGATATGAAACCCATTTTATTAACGAAAAATAGCTATTTCTGATTTCATGAAATTTACAAAATGCAGGTTTAAGATAGACAAGTTACGCATATAACAGTGTAATTATTTGATCTATTGGGTTTGTACCTATACTTACCTAAGCTAGTGTTCATATACATTTAAGACGTTTCTGAACTTACTTCCACCAGTTTATTATATTACTGTATTTGCATTATTTTGATTTGAAAATAGCTTAATTATAAGGTTGAATGAAGTTGACCTTTTCATTTTTTTTCATTAGTCGAATATTGTTTCTGGTTCAGCAATAAACATCTTTTTATTGGTCGCTTCTGATTTTGGCGGTAAATGTTTATGTCCATTTATTTTCTGGAAATTTTGGTCATTCTGTATTTCGTTGACTTAGAGATCACATGTTTTAAAAATTAAAAATTTAAGAGCAATCCCTTCACTTCGGGGTTGAAAATTTCTGCATTAATTTCTGTTCCCATAAAAAATACTGATGAAAGAAGGATTATTTTAGACTTGAATATGCCAAAAGGTAATGCTGTAAATGATTTCATTGATAAAGATATATATTTAAATGAGCGCGTTGATTTGGTATTTCTAATGTTTAAAAAAGATTTGCGTAAAGCTTACAGACAGATAAGTATTTGTCCAAGTGATTATAATTTAGTTGCCTTTTGTTGGAAAAAGCACATATTTTGTGATACTGTTTTAAGTATGGGTCTTAGATCTGCAGCTCAAATATGTCAAAGGGTTACAAATGCTATAGTTTTTATTATGTATAATATTGGTTTATCTTGATGACTTGGGGTTGAAACAAGGCAAAATGCGCTATTTGCATATAGTTGTTTAGGTCAAGTCTTAAGGGATTGTGGTTTTATTGAGTCAGTTGTAAAAGCTTGTACACCTTCGGAAATAATGACGTTTTTGGGGGTCCTTACAAATTCAATGACTATGGACGTTACTAGAGTGATTGATAAAAATTTAATTCAGGTATCGTTACCCAAAACAGAAGCAACGCTTAGAGAAATGCAATCACTTATTGGTAAATTAAATTTTGTGGCTTCATATGTGCGGTCAAGCAGGATTGTTATAAGTGTCGTATAACGGAGCGAGAACTCACAGATGTTTTATACTTTTAATATACAAATACACAAGTGTACAAGTCAAGAACCAAATTCGAACTGTCTCTGGACATTGAGAATCGTATATATAATGACAGCTTCAATAATGACAACTATGATGTAAATATATGCACGCGTTTTAGAGTTACATGCAGAACTCTCATCAATCATTTTGACATATCATTACTTTCCAGCCCAGTCTGCATGTATTTGTACTATAATATATATAAATCAATGTCATGTTTTACAGTTCACACTTTGAAATAAAAACCTTAATATATGTATATACATGTCGTCGACTTGTCATTTATATTAATATGATGTGTAAACAGTATAACACGACATTAGCAGGCTTATTAACTGGCTTAAAGATTTGTACAGTTATCTTCCTCATATTTACGTTCCAATTCCATCTGAGGTTAAAAAAAGTAATTCTTTGGTGGCATAAGTTTCTATTATGTTATATGAAAATTGGTCAGTTTCTCAACAGACGCATGTTTAACAGGCTGTGGTGGTTTTTACAAAGGAAGATATTTTCATCCTGATTTTCCTGTAAATATTTCAAATCGAAAATTTTCTATAGTAGTGTTAGAATTATTTGGCATTATTCTTGCTTTAAGACTTTGGTCAAATGAATTTAAAGGTAAAAGGATAATCGTTAATTGTGATAATGAGTTTGTATGCGTAGTCTTGAATTCTGGCAGACCCAGATGTTCAATGTTACAGGATGGTTTGAGAGAAATTTGATTTTAACAGCCAAATCTAAATGTGAAATAAGAGCTGTTCATTTGTAAAGTATGTTCGTCTCGTTGGTCACAGCATGATAAATTCAAAGATGAATTTTTCCAGTTAACAACTGGATTTTATTTGGGGTGTTGTGAGAGGGTGGATCAAGGTTTTGTTTTTGTTAATGATTGGTAATTTTTCTTTTTCTTTTTCTTGTTTTTAGTAGATCTACAGTTGAAGAATCTCAAGTCTGAGTTGAAACTGCCAAATATTTCAGCATATGCTGGAGGTAGTAGAAAGAATTTAAAAATTCAGTGGGAATCTTTTATTTTATTTTGTATTTATTTCAATTATCTTATTTACCTGCCCGTACAAAGACACTTTGATTATGTTCTCAGTTTTGAGACGTTCTTTTAAATCAGTGTCTAGTATTCGTAATTATTTAAGTGGGATTAGAACTGTTCATCAGTTACTGGGATTTGATTTAAATGAAATGAACGCTTTTCTGGTAAATTTTACTCTTCGTGGCATTTCTAGATTGAAGTGTCACTGTGTCAAACAAGCCGAACCTAAAACTTCTTTCATACTTAACATTTTTTTTTGGGCCTTAGACTTCAAAGACTCTGAGAATTTGATTTTCATCGGTCTATTTATATTTGCCTTTTTCTTACTTGCTCGCAAATTAAATTTGGTTCTTACCTCTAGTAAATGATTGATTGGGTTTTACGTCACATCGACACAGTATATGTCATAACGCGACGTTCCAGCTTTACTGGTGGAGGAAGACCTCAGGTTCCCCTCCGTGCATTATTTCAGGCACGAGCGGGCACCTGAGTAGAACCACCGACGTTCCGGTAGCTAGCTGGATAGCTTCCTCACATGAAAGAATCCAAGTCCCTGTCGGGATTCGAACCCACAGCGGTGAGGGGCAAGTGGTTTGAAGTCAACGACCTTAACCTCTCGGCCACGGACGCCCCATCACTGGTAAAGATTTAATTAATCATAAGTGTTTCCTTAGATCTGTTGTTACTCGTTTTCATGGTAATTGAATAGTTACCATGAAATGGTAAAACACTATCCAGTTTAGCGAACGGCTTTTACAGACTCCTTTATTGAGATTAAGAGGTTCCCATTTATGTCCAGTTACAGCTTATGATAACATGTTAAAAGTTGTACCTGGAGTTTCATCAGATGCTTTATTTCTTTTACCTAATGGTAAACCTGTCACTTATTATTTATTTCAAAATAAGTTGCTTAATGTTTTGAATGATATTGGTTTAGATTCTTCCTTGTACTCTTCACATTCATTCAGACGTGGCTTTGCCACTCTTGCATTTAGAAATAATGTAAGTTCTGATGAAATTCAGATTCTTGCAGATTGGCATTCTGACGTTTATAAACGTTACATTTCACTTTGTATAGAGGATAAGTGTAAAATAATTAAAGATATTTCTCATACATTTTATTTTTTAAAATTACAGGTGTAGTATGGCATTGTATAGATCAAAGTTTTTTATGTTTTCAGCACATGTAAGTCATCCACCACTGCGCAAGTGTACAATAGTCTCCGACTCCATAGCGAAAAATGTTTCTGGAATTTGGGACACCAAAATTACCGCTTTTCCAGGGATTAATATTTCAAGATTAAGTTTTAGAATTTCTCAGGGTCAGGTGGATTTAAGATCTTCATTCATTATTTTACATGTAGGCACCAATGATGTTACTGGTACCCGTTCAGAGG